CTCTTAAATAAGAAGTTACAGGTCTGTGAGAGCCAGAAATCTTGCTTGTTTGTAGGTGACCAAATACTTATTTTCCACCATAATTTGCAAATAAATTCATTAAAAATCCTACAATGTGATTTTCTGGATTTCTTTTCCTCAATTTGTCTGTCGTAGTTGACGTGTACCTATGATGAAAATTCCAGGCCTCTCATCTTTTTAAGTGGGAGAACTTGCACAATTGGTGGCTGACTTTTTTCCCCCACTGTACCTCATCCCCATATTGTTATTTATTTTGCTCATTTGCACCCCAGTATCTCTATTTGCACATCATCTTCTGCACATCTATCACTCCAGTGTTAATACGAAATTGTAACTATTTTGCACTATGGCCTATTTATTCCCTTACCTCCATAACTTACTACATTTGCTCACACTGTATATAGATTTTCTACTGTGTTTTTGACTGTACGTTTTGTTTATCCCATATGTAACTATGTTGTTGTTTTTATCGCACTGCTTTGCTTTATCTTGGCCAGGTCGCAGGTGTAAATGAGAACTTGTTCTCAACTGGCCTACCTGGTTAAATAAAGGTGAAAATAAAATAAATACATTTGAAGTGGCCTACATCAGAGAGATCTGTCATGTGTTTGGAGTAGGGACACTGTGGACATACTATGATAAACTTTGTCCTTGAGGTGAGAAGGACTGATGCCCTTCTGACCTTATTGGCCACTGAACACATAATGCAAGTGAATGCAAGGTTAGGAATATAATCACTTTTAACTGTTTTCCTTCTAAAATGAGGGAACTGTCTCTGCAGTTTGAATTTTGATGTGAAGAAGAAATACCCCATTACAAGTATACACTGACCAAACATAAGGAACTCTTTCCATGACAGGCTGACCAGGTGACTCCAGGTGAACGCTATGATCCCTTATTGATGTCACTTGTTAAATCCACTTCAATCAGTGTAGATGAAGGGGAGGAGACAGGTTAAATAATAATTTTTAAGCCTGGAGTCAATTGAGACATGAATTGTGTACAGTGGCTTGCGAAAGTATTCACCCCCCTTGGCATTTTTCCTATTTTGTTGCCTTACAACCTGGAATTAAAATTGATTTTTTGGGGGTTAGTATAATTTGATTTACACAACATGCCTACCACTTTGAAGATGCAAAATCTTTTTTATTGTGAAACAAACAAGAAATAAGACAAAAAAAACAGAACTTGAGTGTGCATAACTATAACTATTCTAACTATGTACTCCTGAGTGGCGCAGTGGTCTAAGGCACTGCATCGCAGTGCTAACTGTGCCACTAGAGATCCTGGTTCAAATCCAGGCTCTGTCGCCGCCGGCCGCGACCGGGAGACTCATGGGCGGCGCACAATTGGCCCAGCGTTGTCCAGGGTAGGGGAGGGAATGGCCGGCAGGGATGTAGCTCAGTTGAATCGGTTGTGGGTTCGATTCCCACGGGGGGCCAGTATAAAAAAAATATGTATTCACTAACTGTAAGTCGCTCCCCCCCCCCCCCCCCCCCCCCCCCAAAGTCAATACTTTGTAGAGCCGCCTTTTGCATCAATTACAGCTGCAAGTCTCTTGGGGTATGTCTCTATAAGCTTGGCACATCTAACCACTGGGATTTTTTCCCCATTCTTCAAGGTAAAACTGCTCCAGCTCCTTCAAGTTGGATGGGTTCCGCTGGTGTACAGCAATCTTTAAGTCATACCACAGATTCTCAATTGGATTGAGGTCTGGGCTTTGACTAGGCCATTCCAAGACATTAAAATGTTTCCCCTTAAACCACTCGAGTGTTGCTTTAGCAGTAGGCTTAGGGTCATTGTCCTGCTGGAAGGTGAACCTCCGTCCCAGTCTCAAATCTCTGGAAGACTGAAACAGGTTTCCCTCAAGAATTTCCCTGTATTTAGCGCCATCCATCATTCCTTCAATTCTGACCAGTTTCCCAGTCCCTGCCGATGGAAAAACATCCCCACAGCATGATGCTGCCACCACCATGCTTCACTGTGGGGATGGTGTTCTTGGGGTGATGAGAGGTGTTGTGTTTGCACAAGACATAGCGTTTTCCTTGATTGACAAAAAGCTCAATTTTAGTCTAATTTGACCAGAGTACCTTCTTCCATATGTTTGTGGAGTCTCCCACATGCCTTTTGGCGAACACCAAACGTGTTTGCTTATTTTTTTTCTTTAAGCAATGGCTTTTTTCTGGCCACTCTTCCGTAAAGCCCAGCTCTGTGGAGTGTACGGCTTAAAGTGGTCCTATGGACAGATACTCCAATCTCCGCTGTGGAGCTTTGCAGCTCCTTCAGGGTTGTCTTTGGTCTCTTTGTTGCCTCTGATTAATTCCCTCCTTGCCTGGTCCGTGAGATTTGGTGGGCGGCCTTCTCTTGGCAGGTTTGTTGTGGTGCCATTATTCTTTCCATTTTTTAATAATGGATTTAATGGTGCTCCGTGGGATGTTCAAAGTTTCTGATATTTTTTTTAACCCAACCCTGATCTGTACTTCTCCACAACTTTGTCCCTGACTTGTTTGGAGAGCTCCTTGGTCTTCATGGTGTCGCTTCCTTGGTGGTGCCCCTTGCTTAGTGGTGTTGCAGACTCTGGGGCCTTTCAGAACAGGTGTGTGTGTGTATATGTAATATATATATATATATATATATATATACTGAGATCATGTGACACTTAGATTGCACACAGGTGGACTTTATTTAACTAATTATGTGACTTCTGAAGGTAATTGGTTGCACCAGATCTTATTTAGGGGCTTCATAGCAAAGGGTGTGAATACATATGCACGCACCACTTTACCGTTATTTTTTTATTTTTATTTTTTTAAACAAGTTATTTTCTTCATTTCACTTCACCAATTTGGACTATTTTGTGTATGTCCATTACATGAAATCCAAATAAAAATCCATTTAAATTACAGGTTGTAATGCATCAAAATAGGAAAAACGGCAAGGAGGATGAATACTTTTGCAAGGCACTGTATGTGTGCCATTCAGAGGGTGAATGGGTAAGATCATATTTAAGTGCCTTTGAACAGGGTATGGTAGTAGGTGCCAGGCGCACCGGTTTGAGTGTGTCAAGAATTGCAATGCTGCTGGGTTTTTCATGCACAACAGTTTCCCGTGTATATCAAGAATGGTCCACCACCCAAAGGACATCCAGCCAACTTTACACAACTGTGGGAGTCAACATCCCTGTGGAATACTTTCGACACCTTGTAGAGTCCATGCACCAACGATGAAAATACTCTGTCAAAAAGACCTGTCCAGGCAAGCTCCTCTGATTCCCGTAGAACTAAATCCAGATTTACAGATTTATGAAAGCACATTCATAAGTAGATTTGTCTCGGCTTAGACATCTATATGTGGGCTCAATCGCCACTGACAACAGCTTATTATTGTTATTTTCCGAGTACCTGTTTACTCCATGGCTGTGAGTTTGACTGAAAAAACGATATGTCCTTCATGAATGACAGTATTGGGTCATAACAGGATTATCATACTGACTTATACTTGGTAGATCAACAGTGCTGTCTGGCTGTTCATTATAGGTTAACAGGGAATACTTAGGAATCAGACAATGGAGGGGTTTTCTCTGCCATGCCCAGTTACATGAGTGTGTATGGAATGGATAGACACTTTTCCTGGAATGTTAGCAGAAACAGGAAGTCAGGAAAGCTGTGGTGATTTCCCTCCCTCCCACTCTCCTCCTTCTTTCCTTCCCACCTGGCCCACCCCCTTGAAACCTGTCTGTCTGGTTTGAGCTTGGGTTTCACAAACTAAACACAGACTCTTGATACTCAAACACTTTGAAATTATTTCTGAGTCAGTTATACAATTTGGAGCATGTTGGTCCCTCACAGTCTTAGCAGAGCGAGCAGAGACTGTTAACCATTCATTGATCCAGTTACCCATTAACTAGTCTCTACTCTGAATGGTGTTAGGAATGTTCCTCTGTGGAAAGGCCAATGCATAGTGCCCCTGATGTGAGCCACACAACACATGTACACCTAAATGGCTGCATGCCTTAATACTGGATGAATTACAATTAACAATGCTAAAATAATCACAATTAAAGATACCCTGACAACATTAACCCCAACCTCTCAGCAAAATATGTGTACTGTCAATGGCTATTAGAGTTTACCATTGACTGTGGTACACACATGGTTCTGTACCTGTAATGTTATTCTTAATGCCTCAATTAACGCCTTCATTTTGCAATGACAGAATGGCTATGTAATGTAATGACTCATACAAAATGTTTTTTTTAAGTATGCAGGTTAGTTGTCCTGATGCTTCAACTAGCTTGTCGTGAGGCGTACAGCTTGGCGTTGCACAAGCGAAACCACTTCCTCTCTCGTGTTATATCAGTCATGTCTGCTTTCTTTGGGTTTACCACGTGTCTGTTCACAAGCCAGACCATCCAAATGTATTTTCAGTGGGTGAAGTACGCCTGGTTTTAGGGACAGTTACCTAGCCTTTTTTTATTTGACCCCATCAAGGTCAAATAAAAAATAAAATCAAATGAAATTGTATTTGTGACATGCTTGGTAAACAACAGGTGTAGACTAACAGTGAAATGCTTACCTACGGGTCCTTCTCCAACAATGCAGAGTTAAAGATGAAGATCAAATAAATAAAATACTGACTTGCTCTCTAATATTCAACACGGTTTTTTAAGACGTTTATTTGAAGGTATGTTTATAAACTGTTATGTTTATAAGAATGTAATAATCATTTTAAGCCTTGCACGTGAAGTAATGAGTTGTTTGAAGCTATGATTACGTAAGAAGCAGTTTATAAGCACTGTAATAAGCAGTTTATAAGCAACTTTTTGCCCCAAAAAGTGTTACACATGATTCTGTCTGGAATTCCACCACTGAACCACAACATAAAATTACATTCACATGACATTTGTGTGTATTGTTTTATTACATAATGTTATATCTAATCATCAGTGTCCCCGCTCTCTGATACTTCGTCCTTTAGATCACTGCATGGTCCCCAAGAAGGTGGGTCCCTGTCGCGGATCCTTCCCCCGCTGGCACTACAATGCTGCCTCAGAGAGGTGTGAGGAGTTCTTGTTCGGGGGCTGCAGAGAGAACCTCAACAACTACCTCTCCCTCCAGGAGTGTACCAACGCCTGTGATGGTGTGTCAGGTACTGTACAGATCCCGCTTGCATCTTATAACAGTTTGTGGAGAAGATTGGTTGGTTGGTTGGTTGGTTGATTGGTGTTTCCTTTCTTGTAGTTATTCACAGAGGTAGAACTGGACCACTTCCAGCCCCTAGAGGTAAGACTAACTTAAATGTCATTGATTATCCTCAGGTGTAGGCCTATGGAAAATAGCTGTACTTGTAAGCTCCAGCTTTTTGGCAATGCCTCCCCCAGTCATTGACATACGGCAAATACATTTATATTTGAACTATCTGTTGACTGATACATATCCATTGAGAATTATCAGTTACCTGTATTACTTGTGCACCCTATATAAGGTGAATCTACAGGTTAAAAGTAACTTTTACCTCACCTCTTCTGCTCACCTGTGTGTTGTTGTGTTTAGAGGTGTGTGAGGTCCCCAGTTCACCTGTGTGTGGTGTTGTGTTTAGAGGTGTGTGGAGTACCCTGTGGGTCAGGCCAGTTCACCTGCACCAATGGCTGCTGCCTTGACCAAGGCCTGGAGTGTGACAAGGAGCAGCAGTGCAGCGACGGCTCAGACGAGGAGAACTGCGAGGACTGTGAGTACAGGCTATGCAAACCAACCCTAATTTACATACAACACTGCACTGGCCTTACCTTACCACTGACCTTTACATTACCAGTGTAGTCATGAAGTGATGCTATTGGATACTATTGGGGTGCTCAATGTTTGTTGACATGTGAAGTTGCTTAAAGGGAAACTTCGATATTTTGGCAATGAAGCCCTTTATCTACTTTCCCAGAGTCAGATTAACTTGTGGATACCATTCTCTGCATGCATTTTGAAGGACGCCGCTAACTAGCGTTAGCACAATTGGTAACTAGCTTTAGTGCTAACGCTAGTTAGCATTGGCTCACGAAACTACCTCTAACATCCTTCATACTGGATGCATATACATAAAAATGGTATCAATGAGTTAATCTGACTCTGGGGATGTAGATAAAGAGCTTCATTGCCAAAATCCAGAAGTATCCCTGTAACTCTTGCTTTCTTCCTTTCATCAGTGAACGACAACTTCCAGATTCTACTACAAATTCCTGTGGATGAACAGAAAGGTTATTTGAGTTTTACTGTTTTGAGACATGTTCACAATAACAGGATCAATCTAGGATTTTTTTTGTTGTTGAGTTAACTTAGTCACCTATGGTGCCTAGCCCTACTCTGGCTCTCCTTACGAACACTGATCTCTCTCACACATATTCTTTCAACCACAGTTCGCTGCACGGAGCACCCCAAAACAGGAAACTGTCGGGACAGTTTTACTAAGTGGTACTACAACCCTGTCTACCAGAAGTGCTTCCGTTTCAATTATGGCGGCTGCTACGGGAATGAGAACAGATTTGACACTGAGGATGCTTGTATGAGGACCTGCAAACTGGTAACAGGTAGGTTTGCATGCTTTAGCCATTACAACACATTCAACTGATTTCAAAATTGTTGCACTGTTATATTACCCTTTGAGAGCATAATAATGCAAACTGAAGTGAATGTTACAGAGCTACAGTATGTTCCTATTTCAGCGCCACTACATTGTGTGTATCAACAATACTGTAGCTGTGTGTAACAACTAACTTGTCTCTTATCCTTACCACGTTTTCAGAAAAGGACGTCTTTGAAAGAACGGACAGATATGAATACCAGGACACTGAAGGACATATAGGTAATTGGCTCTTCTTTATTCTGTAAGATGGAGCCTTTTGTCCCTCAGAACTCCATGGAAAATACATTGTGACAATACTCCTTTTTAAAACCAAATATTCCCCCACATCAAGTTTAAGGGCCCTGGGGGTCAAAGCTGGTCACAAAGATCTTGTGATGATGAAGCTGTGTGTTTCCCTGCACATTCTACTCACTTCATTCAAACACTGTGAATGTTGCACATGATTGATTCTGTCTGGCGTCCAGTTTTTGCACATGCAGGCTCCTTTCATATAGTTATTGACTTACTGGTGTGTGTGTGTCTTCATGCCCATCCTCCCTCAGGCATCAAAGTGATAGCCGCACTGCTTGGCCTGGCCATCATAATACTGCTGGTAGTTCTGTGTTACTGCTTCATGAAGGGCAAGAAGGAGCAGACTCGGAGCCAGCGGGTTCCCGTCAACGGCTCCCAGGTATACACCAGGGAGGACACTGAGCGCCTGGTCTACAACACCACCACCAAGCCCATCTGACCCCTAACCTCTGACCCCGCAAGCTGCCTAGGTGCAAACCATCATCGTTGCATGAACTCGGATCAATACATGCATATTTTTATTTTATTTTATGTTAACCTTGGAGGATTTTTGTGTAGCACTATGGTCTGTTTTATTTTCCCCAAATACAGGCCTGTTTGTTTGATAAAAGCTTTAGCTTGTTTGTAATGTAGGCCTAAGAGTTTTTATTAGAGTTTGACTCCACTCAGGAAAGCAAAAGTGGCAGCAATTCTTCAAAATGTTTGCCTTTTTGTCTTTCTTGCAGGAGCCTGTCAGAATTCAGATTGTTGGTCAGCAATTCTGCACTCAGGGTAAAACGGTCCTACGATTAAATCCACAAATCTGACTTCATGTAAACTGTTGGAATAATGGGAGCTGAAAACCTCCCAGTATTGATTTGTTATTCTTATCCTGTTTTATCATATTTGAGGCATTTAAAAAATATATATATGTGTTGCTGGAAATATATTGTACATTATTGACACATTTTGTCTTAACTGGTAGAAGTTAGAGCAAGTTATTTTACTTTTATAGTTTTATTTTCTGATTTATTAAAACTGGTATTTCAGAAGGAAACGGAAGAGGGGAAAATAAAGTGAGTTTGTGCCTGTGGAAAATATACTCTTTATATACTCTACTTTTTTATTAACACCTTTGTATATAGTTTTATCTCTTTTACCATTAGCTCTCAAATCCTAAATAAAATTATGCTGTTCCCAGAATGTTGTTTGTTCGATGATAAGAGGGATGCAAATCTGAACCTGCAGCTTTTTAAGCACATTATTGGTATCACATAATGGGAATGTTCATTGTTTAACACTTGCTTTTACAGTGTCATTTCACGGGTTTCATCATCTGAGGTTAACATTCATTAAATTGATGCTGTGTCTACACACTCAAATGTTTGTAATGAACGCTAACAACCAGGAAAACATTTCTAAATCAATCAGAAACAGTTAAACTAGTTTTGTGTCATAAAAGGTACTATACAATAGGCTTTTAGTGACAGACTCGCAGGTATGCTTACAATTCAATCAATTTTAATCCTACTTTGTACACAATAAAATGTGAAGAAATCCAAGGGGGTGAATACTTATGATACCCACTTTATACCCTCCCTTTGCAACCCTTTGCGCAGGGCTCGCCAACCCTGTTCCTGGATATCTATCGTCCTGTAGGTTTTCGTTTCAACCCTAATCTAGCACACCTGATTCTAATTAGCTGGTTGAAAAGCTGAATCAGGTAAATTACAACTGGGGTTGGAGCAAAAGCCTACAGGAGGGTAGCTCTCCAGGAACAGGGTTGGAGAGCCCTGCATTACAGCATAATGTTATTCCCATGCATTACCCAACCATTACCAGCAGATGGAAATATTGACTTTACATTGACTCTACTGCATAGCCACAATGAAATAAAATGACTCTTTGACACTTCACTGCAAAACATAGACTTCTGATATTGCACTATTTCCCCCAGAATTATCCATGTAATATAGTCCCTGCTGACAAGATGTCCATTTTAGGACAGGCCATCCTCAGTCATCACCATGAAGGTTAGCTCAGCAGCAGCCTCTGTGATGTTAATCAATGGAAGAAAGTCTGACAGGTGAGGTGACTGCCATTGATAGTAAAATGGGACTTCTGAGGGGAATACAGAGCATTGTAGTCTACCTTTACTACTAGCCACAAGTGAACAGTTCCTTCAATTAATTCACTCCAGTTATCTGTCTGCCATTCTTTGTAGGTACCTTTTGACAGTATAGGGACTGGAGACCATCATCAATAGACCATAAGACTTTGTGATGGTGTGTGATAGTGGTTTATAAACTTGTCATGTTGGCTGACTGGGCCCTCAGGAGTAATCCACACAATTGACTGAGAGGAAGAAAGATTTTGAATTTACTCTAAAGTTTGTCAGTTTACAATGGGCTGATAAGGGCCAAGTTTAAATATTTGCTTGTGTTTATGTAAATAAAGGGAGTTGGCAGAAACTTGAATTTGGGTCATTTTTCAAGATGCCCATACACACTGATGACCTTTATTTCAATAAAGAAAAAAATCAAGGATATTATTCACTCACTCTTTGGGACAAATAAAGACAGTATTTGAGGCAGTGTACACGGCAGTATAAACCAGACAGGCAGCCCAATTCTGATATTTTTTCCACTTATTGGTCTAATCACATCAGATCTTTTCACATCGGATATTTTTTTAGAGCTGATCTGATTGGTCAAAAGACCGATTAGTGGAAAAAATATCAGAATTGGGCTGCCTGTCTCAACGCAGCCTTTAATTTGACACTTTGAGGCAGCAAATTCTACCACTCTCGGTTAGATAGCGTGCTCTGGAAGTAGGCGGTCTTTGACCGTCGGTCGCTGTACTTTGCTATGTGTTCGGCTCAGCTTTAGAGTCAGTAGAGGACAACTGGGCTGTGCAAAGGAATTCTGTGTTTTTGACTATGTGAATTAATCTATGGAGAACTAAGGACTTCAAAAAGTAAAACTGAAATTATAGTCTACAGAAAAACTAGACCCACACTTTCGGAAGTTCACCGGCAGATGACTACACACTCAAACATTTGGTAAGTGTTTATAATTAACTCTAATAACCGGGGAAACATTCGTGAATCAGAAACGGTTCGACTCTCGAATTTCCTTATGATGAAAAGCCTACACAGCATAAAGCGCATGCATGGTCGATACAACACAGCTTTTCGTATAGAGTTCATGCCGCGTTTTTGTTGTTGTGCCCATCAATTTATTCAATCAAAGCCGCAATTGATGTGGTAAATCTCTGCGTCTCGAGACGTTCCTCACTGCTCTGAAACTCCATCAAGCTATGCACACACAACCTACCACAACACACTTGAAATGATATGCCAACCTGTTTTGACAGGATGAGGTAAAAGAGCTATGTTGTATTCTTTAGGCAATAAAAAGCACACAGCTCTTGCACCATACTATTGAAATGACAACCACCTATAGGTATACTATTAGGCTTTTTATTTATTTTAACATGTTCAAATTAGGGCTCCTTTCCATGACATGACAGTGTCAAATGCCATTAATCTCCCCTAATTCAACAGGGTAGCCTACTGTATTGCTAGGTAGGTGGACTTGCAAGTGCAGAACTAAACAAGATTTTGTAAAATTCCATGTGGATAAAATTGCGGTGTATGCTATCTGGGATCCTTGAGACATCCCTACCTTATTGAAGTTGAAATGTGTAAGGGATATGGTTAGGATTTAGGGTAGGGATGTCCTAAGGATTCTGGATTGCACTGACCATTAAATTACCTATAATCTAAAACCGTCATATCGGTCTTTAACTCACTGAGTCAGGCTAAAAGCTTAGTTCCCTGCCAAGGGTAAGTTTCAGTACTGATAAGTTATGTTTGTAAAAAAAAAAAGAAAAGAGAACATTCTCTGACTGAACTTTGATCAGCTGCAGAGATCCCCTTTCCTGGTAGGCACCTGTGAGACTAAATATGGCATATAAACTAGATTGATATTTTGAGACTTAAAGTGGCAATATGTAACTTTTTGGGCGACTCGACCAAATTGACATAGTTGAATGTAAGTTATAGATCTGTCATTCTACTTGAAAGCAAGTCTAAGAAGCTGGAGATCTATGTGCACTATTTCTATGCTTTCCATTCTTAAGTTTTGTTTTTGAGTGTTTTACACTCGGTTTTGTCCACCAGCTGAAAGAACAATTATATTAGGTTATGGAAAATATACACTGAACAAAAATATAAACTCAACATGTAAAGTGTTGGTCCCATGTTTCATGAGCTGAAATAACAGAACACAGAATCCATACGCACAAAGCGTATTTCTCTTCTTTTTTTTTTCTTTTTTTTTTACATTTGTTTACATTCCTGTTAGTGAGCATTTCTCCTTTGCCAAGATAATCCATCCACCTGACAGGTGTGGCATATCAAGAAGCTGATTAAACAGCATGATCATTACACAGGTTCACCTTGTGCTGGGGACAATAAAAGGCCACTCTAAAATGTGCAGTTTTGTCACACAACACAATGCCACAGATGTCTCAAGTTTTTGTCACAAACTGAAATTAAGCGACCTATTAGTTTTAGCAACCAGGAAATGGCGGCGCAATTACAGCATAGTGCAACTTTGAGAGGAGTCTGAAATATTTCTACTATTTATGGGTTGGTTTGTTGTTTACAACAAAACTGACGCGTGTAACTATGGGGCAAAACAGACTGGGTTGACATAGATTATTGACATGTACATTTCTATTTAATCTCCAAATGTTTACTGAAAACATTAATACATTTGCACAATAAGTACTTGTCTCATACAGTGCATTCGGAAAGTATTTAGACCCCTTCCCTTTCCACATTGTTACAGCCTAATTCTAATATATATATATATATATATATTTTTTTTTTTACATCAATCCCCATTATGACAAAGTAATACTTTTTTTTTTTTGCAAGTGTGTGTGTATGTGTGTGTATATATACCTTATTTACATAAGTATTCAGACCCTTTGCACAGGTGCATCCTGTTTCCATTGATGATTCTTGATGTTTCTACAACTTGATTGGAGTCCACCTGTGGTAAATTCAATTGATTGGACATGATTTGGAAAGGCACACACCTGTCTATATAAGATCCCATAGTTGACAGTATGTCTTGTTTTGTATGCTTTGTACAAAATAATAAAATGCAGGACGACAGGATCTTTATAAACGTAGCTCTTTATTAACTAGCTATAACTGGCATGTTCATGTGTCTCCGGCCATTATCATCTTTAGAATGACCTTACCACCTGGGTGGTCTTAACCAATCATAGCACAGTATGATATGACAGTAGAATGCATCCAATTACAATTCAGTATGCTGACACATATGAATATTACATCCCCCTTCTTTAAAAAAAAATAAAAAATAGTTTGAACTCGAGGTAAGTAACCATTTAAACTGCATCAACATAACAGACTGAAACAAT